GACAGAAAACAAAAGTGCTACTTGATGAAGAATTAGAGTAGCACAATTGTCAAGGATCATAGGGAATGTACTGGGGGCCTGTAATGGTAGTATAACTATGTAGAGTTGGGGTCTCTGAGGGTAAGTCTATGAGCTGGATCCACAGGGGTGTGCATTCCAACTCCAAGCATGCTCTGCTCATCATATTTTTAGAGTTGGGAGAAGGTTTGGTTGTCGTGTCCCTGTGATTTGTTTTCTGTGGCGGTATCAGAATTGAGGGGTAGCTTGGGGGCTGTTTGTCTTTGTTAAAATACGCCGTTCCACACCCCGATCACAGCTGTGCAGACAATGGTCGGACGGCTGTCGGAAGTACAGTTTGTTAACAGACGGGAAGCTTTCTGGAGGATCTGCTGTGCCATGTGACGGTAGACCCTCTGGATCCTGTCATTTGGTCTGTGCCGGAAGGTACGGTTGAAGGGAACTTTTATATGTATTCTCTGTCACTTGTTCACTGCTTTCTTCAATATCAAGTCTGTTTGGTGCTAGAACCGTTTCTGCAATACGCAATTGTGGGCCAGCTTGTGCTCTGTTATGTTTCCATACCGGCCTCAATTTGATTCGAACCTTTGTGGCTCATTGGTTATTGTTTGTTGTGGCCTTTAGTTTTCTATTTTTGTGTCAATCTGTTTCTCCAGGATAGCTACACCCTGTAGGTGCTTCAGTGAAATGACTAAAAAACATTACTTACCTTTGCAACTAGTTGACAAGATATTTCTCTGATGTCTTCTCAAATCTCATAAAGAATCGAGCGTGATGTATTGCCTTGGCATTTGTTAACAACAGTTGTATTTGCTTTAAAAAAAAAAGATAAACAGGCAAGCTTAGTTTACAAACAACATGGAAACAAAACTAATGCCATTTTTAGTATTACCCTTGTTATATTACCATTTTGAGAGTTTAGCTTGAATGTTTTGGGTTTTTTGCTGTGATGCTGGGTCTTCCTGTATCACTTAATCAGTGAATTAACGTGCATATTTGATACATTGTACCTCATATTATTTTTAGTAATATTACTAATTACACAAGTACATAACGGCCTTTATAGTAGATGAGTGGCTGCACTGGATGGATTAACAAGCAAGTGACCCTCCATGATTGTACGACAATGTACTGTGTCCATTTGTTTTTCAGTTGGCCTGACTTAAAAAGGTAACGAGGTGCCATTTTAGTACTAGTAGCCCCTTTTTGTAATGACAGTTTTGCTTCACCACTTGTTCTGTATGAGTACACTTCGTAGCCTTCTTTGTCCAACTTTTAGTTTATTTAATATAGTGGTAGTACTAGTACACATGCATGTATTCTGATAATTTGTTATTTTGTATAGTAATGTAAAAATGCCAGTATAGAAGTGCCATCTGTTTTCATCACATGGAGTGTGCTTTGATTCAGCTAGTTTGCATTAGCTGGCGGTTTCAGTACTATAATATATGCAACTGTTGAAGGGTTGAGTTATTCAAGTTTTATGATACTGCGATCTCTTTTTGCAGTATAAATAATGTGGCATGAAGACTGAATATCTTTATTGATTGGTGTGAGAAAAGAAGGTTCCTAGAGATTCACATAGTTGACTAGCAGATGAGAGGTGGTGATTATTGGTGAGATGTACAAGCAGTTGTGGGTTGCCCCAAGGAGGGGAACCGGATTGCACAAATCAACAAACAAAAGGTACTACAGTAGAGAAAGGACAAGAGACGATTCCCTGGTATTAAGAGATCCACTTGTCCCGTTCCCCTTACTTTCCCTCTCTTTGCCGCTCGCAATATCCATTTTTGAATTCATATCATCCTGCAACATGCATCCATCCATCCTAAAGTCCTAAGCCAGTGTTCTTATCATTTGCTACTGCAAAGTGCTTCTCTTTGCATGCTTCAATCACATGAATGATGAGCCCGAAAAAGAAAGTAAGCCCCTGTTATGATCATTGCATGCAGAAATCTAATGCAGCACAAGCATGTCATGAATATGTATCATATAGTAGGACCATTCAGAAATGTCCATGCGGTCAGATGTTTCTACACCATGCTGTGCAACGGTCCTAACCCTCCTAGTTCGGTTAAAACATACACTCTTCCTGAAAACTCGTCCATAAGTTGCTTAATTGTTTATAATTCACGCCTTTTCATGCTGCCATCGTGATGGTAAAGGTGTTTCTAGGCCCTCTGATTTTGATAACAAAGCACGGCTAGGGGGTAATGGAGGACACTATGCTCTCGGTTCTGTGGTATACAATAGTTAGCCCTGACCCTATTCATGAAAACAATCAAGAGGTTTTAACCCACTGCATGTTTATTCTAATCGCAAAGGTAATTGTGCAGCGTGTTGGGGTCACATGCTCTTTAGCATGCCAATTGCCTCATTTCTTTATGGCGTGTTGCTAGAATAGGAAGAAAAATGTCATCTCACTAGCATGGAGGAGGGCAGGGAAGGATGCCCTCTGGCACATGCCTTCCGTTATGGGGACCAGAAACACATGGGAGCTACAAATCTAGAACTTCCCTTCGAGAGGAACAAGGGTGTGGACCCCTTTGGAGATCTTTAAGATGAGAGCTTTCTTGCCCATAACACCACCACTCGCCTCCCCTGGCCCAAATTCCGAATTAAATGACATTATTTAATAGGTATAGAACATCAAAGCGACAGTTCAAAGTAACAACAGGTTAACTTTCAGTTGTGTTTTCCGGTCTGGTGGCTGCTTTACCGGTCAGTGATACTGTAGTAACTACTCTAAATCATTACACTTCCGAATTCTGATAGTCAGCCTGTTCGCTGGTTGGTTTCAGCCAGCCAACAGTGTTTTTCTCTCACAACAAATCAGCACCAGCCGGGCTTATCAGCCTAGAAACCAACCAGCGAACAGGCTCACTGAAGGAGTTTGGCAATATCTTGTGGGTAAGGATGCGCAATGCAATGAGGTGTTGGATGTTGTGCAGCCATGAGTTTTCCACTTGCCCAATTGAACCCGGCCTTGGGAGGAAGAGAAAGGCATTTGATGGAGGCAGCTCCCTCAGGTGGGAAGAAGAGCCAGCGCTCCACCTGGCCAGTGCAGTGGCTGGCTGCTGTATGCTCTGTCAATGCCTTCGCCTTTTTTCACGAAAGAGGTAAAAAGGAGCTCTGCACTTGAAACTTTGATGCTGGCAACTATACCTATACGTATCGGCATCATGCTACCACTTGCCTGTGAAACCTGTGACGCAGGAACAGTCCATTGGGGTAGTGTATATGTAATCGTGCTGTGCAAATGCACACTGACACCCCGCCGATCAATGATTGGAGTAGTAGGCATATGGTAGGTGCTTTAGGTCTTCATTACCTCTGGACGGCGGCTTTCTTGTGCTATGGGAGTACTAGATGGTTTCCGCAGCTTGTGCCCCTGATTCTTTAAAGTTTTAACACAAGCAGCAGCACAAGTCCAACAAACCACTGCGAGCGATATCAGTCTACTGAGCAGCATCAGTCTTGGTTATATATCTAAATTGTGGGGGTCCAAGACATTCTACTGGCAAGGCAAGACAAGGGTGGCTGTATGGAAACCTGCAGTTGTTTAATCCCGTTAGAACCGGTAAGCAGGTGAGTAATAGAGCCGAGTTCTTGTGTTGCATGAAACGAATCTGAGCTGTACTTGGCATGAAGCATGATCCAGATCCAAAACTAAATTTGAATCATTTTTTGCAGATCCCAAGAGCAGCGCGCCTGCCTGTCGCAAGTAGTACTGCTCCCCCACAACCAGTGGAGTGTAGTCAGGCCAATCCAATCCAGCAGCATTTGCAGCGGCAGGTGGGCAATCCCACCCCATTTCCATTTCACGCTCCTGATGCATGCAATGCGGTGTGGCAGCGATGCTGTGCGATGCCGGCCAGCGCAGCCTGACAGGGGAGAGGAGATGAACAGTTGCAGAAGGGCCGAGCGCCACCACCACCATCACGACAGGCCAGGCCCCCCCACCACTCCTCGCCGCGGTCCGATGCAGCAGCACTTTATGGGGGAGGAGGCGAGCCTCATCGGCCGCTACAGTTCTGGTCCTCTGGTCGGCCCGCGGCCGGTGACAGCTTGGCCGGCGGGGCACCGTGCCGTAGTACGTTGGCTTGGGCACAAACACATTTGATGCCCTCGCAGGCAGAGTGGTGGCAATGAATTGAAGCTGCTGCTGATGGGGTGGTGGCGCTGCTGGCAGATCAGAGCAGACCCTGATGATTTCCTACGCCGTCCGTCGCTGTGATCAGCATCAGCCTGGTTATCTATCCGCTGGCTCCACTTTCTTGGCTGCCGCGTTTACTCCCCCGCCGTCTGTCTGGCACACCGTTTGTTCCCTCTGCAAGGCACTCTTAAATGGCCAGCAACCAGCAGGCCACCCATCTCTTCCTTTAATGGCTTCTGGTCTGCATCGCAACTCGCAAGAGGACCACAGAGGAGGGAGACAGACGAGAGAACAATAATGACAGGGAAGTAAACAGACGCACTGTGGCGCCACGATCCTAACATCATGCGTGCATCTCCCATACGCCTGCATTCCCCTTTTCTGGCCGCTCTTTTCCCTGCTCACCTTTTCCTCCCATGTATCATCATAAATCAAAGAACAAACACGACATGTGTACAATTTGCAATCCTTCATACACCAACCACACCCGGCAAAACCTCATCCAAGATGGAAGGAAGGAAATCATCAACCCAAAAGACTGAAAAATTGGGAGGCACTGGTCAAGCCTTCTACTCTGCTCTACTAATCTAAGCTGCAGCTGGCATCTTCAGCATCCAGCAGGATATATTTGTTAGTACTTAGTACGGTACGGTGGTGCTTCTTCTAGTCACTTGTCCCTGGTGGACTGGTGGTAGTGGTAGCTTTGCTCCTATGGTCTCTGCTCTTGAGGGCAAAGCAGCACATCCTGAGCCTGCGGAGAGGGTTATTGGTCATTATGCCAGGCGCAATTGACACTGACAAGGTTAGTATAAACTCCATCCTCTCCTCACATATCCCGATTGTAGTGATCGGACGGCTCAGATGTCCGCGGCCGGAAGATCACGGGCGCCCCGTATTGCGGGTGGAGGAGCATCAATACCGTCGGCGCATGGAGGTAGCTGGGCGACAGCCGGAAGTCGAACCGCTGGAGGAGGATGGCCACCGTGAGCTTGGACTCCAGGAGCGCTAGGTTCTGGCCAATGCACATCCGCGCGCCCAGCCCGAACGGGATGAACGCCGTGGGGTGCGTGGCGGCCTGCGCCACGCCCTTGGCGAACCGCGCCGGGTTGAACTGCGTGGCGTCCGGCCCCCACAGCCGCGCGTCGTGGTGCACGGCCATGATCGGGATCAGCAGCTCCGTGTCGCGCGGGATCAGGCACCCGCCGAGCTCCACGTCGGTCTTGGCTCGGCGTACCGTCGCCACAGCCGGCGGGTACAGCCGCAGCGTCTCGTTCAGGATCATCCCGAGCTGCCAGTGAAACCAGCAGCATGCGTCAGCTCATCCGGCCGTTGTTAGTCTGGGGAAGTGGTGGTTCGAGGATTGTGTCAGGGAGGGGACAGGAGCTTACTGTCTTGAGCTTGGCGAGCTGCTCGCGGGAGGGGATGTCATGCGCCCCGCAGATTTGGAGTACCTCCTGCCGGGCGAGCTCCTGCCACTCGGGGTGCATGGCGAGCAAGACCGTGGTCCATGTCAGGAGGTTCGATGTGGTCTGCTTGCCGGCGAAGAAGAACGTCTTGCACTCCTCCACTATGTCGTTCACGGTGATGGGGCTCACCTTGCCGTCGTTGCTGCTCGCGTTGATCATGAGGCCCAGGAGGTCCTTGGCACAGCCGCTGAGCTTCTCGTCGTCCGCAGCTTCCTGACGCCGGCCAATGAGCGTCACCAGGTTCTTTCTGATCTCCTTGTCCAGCTTCCACGAGCTCGTGTTCTTCTTGGTCGGCAGGAACCTGTAGACATATATACACACATCAAACCATGTCATGTCATTCCTCTTCCTGATTAATTATAGCGCAAAAGACTCAATTATGACGTCACACTGAATGATTGATTGATTATATTATTACCTGTATCCAGGGATGAAGACCTTGCGAAATGCCTCGGAGGCGAAGGCCATGAGCTGGGTCTGGAGCTTGAAGACGGCCTTGCCGTCCTCGTAGCTCCGGCCGAACGCCGTGCGGGTGATGGCATCCTCCGTCACCACCTGGAACCACTCGGACACGTCGATCTCGACCTCGCCGGACGCCGCTGCGGCCATGTCGTGCCACTTGTCCACCATGTCGACAACCGTCTTCCCGACGAACGGCAGCAGCAGCTGCATTGCGTACGGTACGTCCCAGCCAGCGTGTCATCACCACAATTCCGCGCGACAAGAAGAACAAAGACTCTTGCATCGCAGTAGTGAAAGGCTGACTGACCTTGAGGTTCTCCATGTGGAACGCCGGCGTGAGCACCTTGCGGCGGTGCGCCCACTTGTCGCCGCGCAGGCTGACGAGCCCCTCGCCCTCGAGCTGGCGCACCATCGGGTGCGACTCGTAGCGGTCGAAGTGGTCGGCGCGGGACAGGAGGATCTCCCGGATGAGGTCGGGGTCGGCGACGGCGAGCCTCGGCGTCGGGCCGAACCATATCAGGAACGTGGAACCTGGAGCAAGAGGCAAAAGCAAAGCAGGCACGGGGCGTGAGCGTGACAAGCCGACGAGGCAGCCAATGATTGGGGGCAGGGCAGGGAGGCCATGTTCCGCCACATCAGCAGCATCCCGCCAGCTGCCAAGGGGGCAGGGACAGGACATGGCAGGGCGAGGTGCCGGCGATGCAGACGCAGGCACAACATGCGTACGACGTACGCGCGGAGCAGGTACGTTACGATACCCCCTGTGCTGTGCTGTGCTGTGCCGCACCCGCCGCATTACACTGTACACGCGCACTGCCGCGCTACCACTGTAGCTAGCCAGCACCCAGCAGGCAGGCACTAGGCAGGGATCACACAAGACGACACGAGGAGAAGGGTGGAGCAGGTGGTGGCCGCAGCGGGAGCGGCGTGGCGTGGCGACGGTTGGGCCAGGGACAAGTCGCGGCGGGTGCGCCCGGAGGCGGCGGGCGCAGGCTAAGCTGGAGTTGAATGCGACGGTGACGGGGCGGGCAATGCGGTGGTGGCGGGGCGGGGCGCGGTGGTGGCGGGGAGCAGAAAGGGAGACGTGTAGGCTCATGTCGAGGGCCGCGGGGGCGGGGCCGGCAAGTAGGAAATAGACCCTGGCCACCTAACCGGGCTGCAGCCGGGGGACAGCGAAAACGAGAGACAACTACGGCAAACCGCTCCGACAGACCCAGGAGGCTCGCCTCGACATGCCACTAAATGCATGTCACCCAAAGGCGGCAGCAAGCAACATCCTGGGAACCAGACGCATGGCGCAACCGCAACTTGCCGATTGGGCTTGCTTTGCTCATGTTGATTGACTGGCTCCCCTCTTGCCGATTGGGCTCGGTCTATTCCGTACCACCACCGTAACCGAACAGAGGAGGGAGGAACAGCAGGCGCCACCGAGAGAGAGACCGGAGAAACAGAGCCTGGAGAAACTCGATCTGCCTGGTGTGTAGAGACAGGGGAGCTAGGGAAAAGGAGGAGCGAGCAGGGAGGAGTGGACTCGTTGGTCGGGTTAGCACGAACAGAAACACTGGACTAGGCTGGGCTAGGCGATGAGACAGACGAGAGCATGAGCATGTGCGTAGGCGTTGCGTACCGTAGATTTTCTTCCAGTGGTGGTAGAAGGCGAGGACGCGCGGGAGGACGTTGTGGGAGCGGTAGGGGCGCGGCATTGGCTTGGCGGAGGCGGCCACCATGAGCGCCACCATCTCGCGGACGCAGCCGACGAAGAAGCGGTAGCGGGGGCCCCTGATCCCCTGCCGCGCGAAGTGCCGCTCCACCCGCCGCGGCCGCCACCACAGCACCTCCATCAGCTTCACCGCCACGTACACCACCGCGGCTGCGGCCGCCAGCGCCGTCCACCCCCACCCCATGCGTCCGGTCCGTCCTCCGTGCAGGGAGCAGAGACAGAGAGGGAGAGAGAGTTTGTTGTGCTCGGCCTCGGCGAAGCCAAAAGAGCCAGGAGCCCCCGAGCAGGAGCGCGCGTGAGGTGGCAAGGGGAGACCCAGGTGAGGGAGACGTGGTGAGGAGAGGAAGCGAGTCGGGTGGATTTATATAGGAGGCCGGACGCGGGGCGGACTCGTTGGCCACCGGACGCAGACGGACCAGCGCAGCCCGCAGTGGTGGTGGTGGTGGTGTGTGTGTCGTGTAGGATTAGTTAGCTCTAGCATGGCAGGATTTGGTTAAGTGTAGGTCGCCGTGCCCTGCTGTGCTGTAGCAGTACGTAGAGATTCAGCGGAGTGGCAGGGGCAGCATGGCACGGCAGGAGCAGGAAGGGGAGCGCGGCGCGGGCGAGGGATGCGCGGAGCGAGGTGCTGCAGGGCCGGCGCCGCTGGGGCCGCCGTCGCGGGGATTAATGGAAGGGTCAACCCGAATTGGCAACTTTTTTGTTTTCTTTCGTTCTGGGCCTTCTGGCTGGCGACTCCGCCTCTCTTCCTTGCTCTGCGCTGCGGGCCCCGCAGCGCCCTGTAACTGTAACTGTAACCCTCTGCTCTCAGCCGCCGCCTCCAGTAGTCCAGTCCAGTCATCTTCCTCACGTCCAGTCTTGGCTCTCGGGTTCGCGCACCACAGCATATACTCTGCTCTGATTATGAAGTCTGGACTCTGGTATGCTGGGCTGCTGGCAGTATCATGCAGTCAGTGTATGTATGCATCTACTAGTATAGTACTACTGTACTGGTATAGTAGTATCAATACTCAATAGTAGTACTAGTACTTCAGCTTTTATCTTCTTCTCTGCTTTGACAGTCGCTTGCTTTGTGTGTGTCAGCCGATGCAGGCCTTGCAGATGCAGGAGTAGACGTAGAGTAACGGTGAGTGACCCTTTTTTACTGCGGCTTTTGTTTGGCTGGGTGTGCTTTGTTGGTTGACAAGATTGATGAGAGATCTCTTTGGGGGTTATATATGTGGACGGATGCATCTTCTTGCTGCTTTCACTTTCACCATGGTGGTTCTTCTGCCTTTCGGGTATGGAGGAGGAAAAGGTGGTGGTACTAGCTGCGTGGCATGTGGGTCCTTCGATCCCGGCTGCTTACAGAAGAGACAAGGCCGCCTAAAATCTTTGCTTTTGGCGTAGTAGGGATCATTTGATTTCAGCAGGGGCGGGGCGGAGGGAGAGGAAAGGTGATTGATTGCAGGGGAATTGGACCTACGCCTATGCATGCTGCAGCCTTCAGCAAAGAAACGTCAGGCTTGTAGCCTCATTTGATATGTGGAGGGATTGGTGTACTGCTGTACTGCTAACATGCATTCCTTTTCACCTGAGCAAGTAATAACCGGCTATAAGCAGGCTCAATGCTGATGTGGAGGAGAGATAATAGGAGAAGCGGGTTGTAAGCTTATAGCCAGCCTAGGCACAAGAAAAAAAAAAAAAAAACTTTGTAAGACGGACTAGGTCATGTATTAATAGTGAAGAACTAACTATTATATGGGTGGGCTGAAAGAAGACTATAAAGAACCTTACAGCTAGCCAGCTGACTATATTATTAGTATTGCTCTAAGCACATCGTTAGTTGGTGATGAAACCTAAGGGTCAGTCAGGTTCATGCATGAACCCTTGCTGCAACGAACTCCACTTGTGCATTTCCGCCTTTGCTTTCCCATCCCATCCCATGTGACTGTTTCAACTTGGAACAGACCCGTTTCCGAGTCAATCTTGGCTCTTGCTCAATGGAGTGGAGAGTGGACGACTCTTGCAAAGTTGCAATGTGTTCTGGTTGGTTTTGTTTGTTACACATTATTAAGCCCCCGGAATTGGAGGAGGGCCTTATCTGCTAGTGCCTTTCTTTTTTTGTTAAAGTGACGTTCGCTACATTGAATGTACGTATGTCATGTTCTGTTGTAACGTGCCAACAGAAAAGTGTTTTGTTTTTTCTCTCCTTCCCTTCCAAACATATACTCCATCCAGGAAAAAAAGAGAGGAAAGCATAGACAATATATACTCCGCTTCTTTATATGCATGGAAGTAAGGTGCAAAAATCGGGGAGCTGAGCTAGCAGAAAGCATGTGCAGTACATACTCCGTTTGTTTATGGAAATCAAGTGCGAAAACGGGGAGCTAAGCTTCGTCCTGTTGCTTGGAACTACGCCATGAATCAGTTCCCGAAGTCTCACTTGATCTGCACACAAGTTAGTACTGCAACCTTTTACCACTCCACGTACTATGAGACATGGATGTGAGTGCGACCCATGCCAAAGTTTGTTGATATATTATGGGCTTGGGCCGTATAATATTTAATAAATCAAATAAAATTCTATGGTATGTAACATTAAGCGTTGTATGGTTTAATACCGTTTGAGATTTTGACTGAACGTTTACTTAGCTTATATAGTTGAAAATTATCCATCTTAATTGAGAAGCTGAGAAAAGGACAAAGGGATGCCAAGCGCGCGCGCCGTCGCTGCCGCCGCCCGGGGCGTGGGCCGGGCCGAGGCGTGGCAGGAGGGCGGCGAGCGGGCGGGCGTGGCCTGTCTTTTGCCACTTAATCTACATAATCACGGGAGTTTCTCTCCTTGGTGGTGTAGGCGAACTGATTGCGCTAGTTACCGTCCCTTCTGCTTTTCGTCTCCTGGGATTCTCTGCTGCCTTTCTCTCTTCCCGTCGCAGCCATATAACCGCAGTCCTCCGTCAGTCTAGATCTGCTCCCGAGAGAAACCACATCTCAGCAGCCGTCTGGCTTTCCCGTACCGTACCTCTGCGCGCACGGAGTGGCGGGAGAGCAGGTGCCTCCGGAACCCTCGTTCGCCTGAGAACCTTGCACGGGGTGAGCGGCGATTAGGTTTTTGGGGAGCGATCCGCGACTGCTCGTCCACATACGTCTTCTTCCCTGTGGTGATCGCTCTCGGAACCCATCTTCTTCCCGGTGATCGCTTGTGGAACAGCAAGGCGTCTTCTTCCTAGTGATCCGTTCTATAGCACCCTTGGTGTTACATTGTACGGTTTTGTTAAAACATTGCATGAGCATCACACTTATGTGCATATGTGTATAACATGAATTATAAATCAATATTCGGCACTTGAAACATTTATGCGAAACAAGAAATCAATGTTACGTTTCATGTCACATAATATGGTTTAGTAGTCTAACCGAATTTTTATTGAACAAAAGTGTTATAGAACATTTATGCGAACTTTGATAGAGTTGGTAGTACGTGCTCCGTAGGCAGCAATGAAATAGGTGCGGTAGAGGACAAGGATAGCTAGCTAGTACATCCAGTAGGTCGGAATTGGGATTCAACGCGAAATCGTTCGAATCGACGTCATTCCGCGTAAGTTTTAAAATGGGTCGACGAAGCCGCTTTTGGCAATTTTTGTAGAGCGATTGGCTTAGGAAGTAGTGCGATGTCATGACTTCGGTTGGTAGCTTGACGTACCCTCTTGCGAATCGAACAACTGGTTTGGCGTTTGGAGCATCGGGTACAAGTTTTTAAGCTACTTTAAAATGCGTGCACGGCACGTGGGTTACCTCTGGGCGCGGTCACCACCCTCTGCTTGGCCTAGCACCGCTGCTGGCTTGCCAACGCGCGCTGCCGTGTTGGCCGCGTCCCACTGCCGCGCCTGTGCACACGCACGGCCCTTGCCACCGCGCGCTGACCACGGCCACCGTCGCTGCTCGGCTTGGCGCTGTTGCTGGCTAACCCAGCGCGCGCGTCGAAGCGCCGGCCGCATCCTCACTGCCGCCGTGATTGCACCTCACGCACGGAGTCCTAGTGCTGCTGCCTCGGCTGCCGGCTGCCACTCGCTGACGCGCGTGGGTCACAGCACCACGACTGACGCGCTGTGTCCGGGACGCCGACCGAGCCCTGCCGACCATGCCCTGCCCTGCTTTGGCCGGGAGTGCGCCGGGTCCCGCGCTACACGCCGCACATCGCCACACCGACACTGCTTCCGTTGACTCACCGTGGCGGCATGCGTGTGAGGCGACCGCCTGCTCCCCATCACCTCGGCGTCACTTTGCACTGTGTTTCCCTTGCCTGGCGCTGCCCGCTGTGACGCTGTGCCGAGCCTCGTCGGCTTGCGGACAGCCGCCTGGAGCACGTCCCGCTGTCCCCCATTGTTGTGTGTGCTTATTTGTTGCGTTGACATCCATAGCCGGGCTGAACCAAGCCGTGCCAAAGCTCCCCTGCCTTAGCTGTCGCCATGGCCGGTGGGACCCCCTTTCCTTCAATTCGCCGTGACCGCAGCACTATGCTCCAATTCGTCGCACCCTCGACTCCGTTAGGTAGCTGGCCGCGCAACCGTCCTCACATTGCCGAGTGTACCATTGCACAGAGCCGCAATTTGTAATCGCCTCCCCGCCGGGTCCATAAGACCGGACGAACGCGCACCGTCGGCAAGTCAGCCATTCCGAGCACCTAGTAGCGATTCATTGCACCATCAGCCTAGTCGTACCCTCTTGAGCACCCCGCGCGCCTCAGCCATAGCTTCACAGCAGGCCAGCCATCACCGACGCGGCCGTGCCATCACCGGGCGCCGTCGCATTGTCGATGCACACATGGCCAACTCAGCTCGGGCCTTCTCTGGCCAGACCGACACCTCAAGCGTCTCCGTGGGTAGTGCCTCGAGCTCGCCAGCTATTTGGTTTGCTCCGTTTTCGTTGTGGCTCACGGGAACGCACCCGCCATCGCAGGTCAAGGACCACCGCCGGGGAGGGAGCCCGGGACGACGCCCCTGTTCGCCGTATCGCTTCCAGCCGCTGCGCGTTGTTGTGGAGGTAATCATCGGTCCCTTAGCTAGGCCTTGGAGACTCGGGTGATGCCGGCGTGGCCGCCCGGTGCCCGCGCCGTCGCGCTAGTGCGCGCACAGGTGCCAAGGGACGTCGCCGTGGTAAAGAAGAAGAAGGGGGAGGATGTATCTATAAAAACATAGACTAGAG